TTCGTTTTCCTAAAATTCCATATTTTAGCTTGGTGTATTTAATGCATTTTAAAAGTACACTGCAACAACTTACAAGCCAAACAAATGGTCTTTCATGGCTAGAGAGAACCTCGCCATTTAGAGGAAAATTTTGGCGATCTATTAGACTTATGCAACAAAAGCATTATCTACCTGCACAAAGTTTCGAGGCACTAGATGCATTAGACTGCCATAGATCTGTGAATCCACGAGAAACTTGATGACTTTTCTCCTACAAAAACAATACTTGTTGGATCGTTTTGATTTTCATTTATAAATCGAGCACATCGCCAGTGAGCTGTGGATTTTGGACATAAGATTAAAATACGTGTTTAAAAATGGATATAATTTTAAAAATTATTGTTCCATTAATGGACCTATTTTTAATTTGGCTTTCAATTTCTTCGCATCTCTCAACTGTAATGTTAGCTTAATTGGGCTTCGAGCTTTTTTCGTCAGAAGAATATTTTTTTTGGAATCAAAATTCAGTCTGACATAATAAAAAATGTAATTCAAATAAAAAGTCTGTAAAAAATATAATTCCAATAATGATTAGTAAATGAATAAAAATTAAAACTAGATTGAAAAAAAGCTTGTATTGAGTTCGAGACAATTTGAAATAGTTACGTTACATTTCATGCAATTACCTTTAAATTTGCAAATTAAAATTTTGCCCTTAAATTTTTGAGAATTTTTTTTTAAATTTGAAAAAAGGGTGTTGTATAGAATTCTGGACACATTTTAGAAATACGTATATTGCATAGATTATTTAATACATTTGTATTTAAATGCACACTTTTATTTTGTTTTTAATGTATTGACAAAAATTTCATAACATTAAAATTTCAAAAATTCCTTTTTACTTACATCAAAGCAAATGTTATTTAAGCATTAAAACAATTGATATGTAAAATAACAGCTTTTGGGAAAAGCAGAACCTAATCTAAATAAGGTGACAATTGTCTCCTACAAGAGCTTTTTCTCAATAGTGAGCGGAATTCTTAACTGCAGTTCTCTGCCTTGATTTACTGTATTTATTTTTTAATTTCATTTAAGTGGATTAGAAACAGCCGTTAATTTTTTTTTTAGTTCCCAAAATTTTATGCTCCATTTTTTTCTTTCAAAATTAATATAATTGCAATCTTAAAGTTTATTAATGTATTAATTAATATATTTTTTTGTAATATCAAAAGTTTGACATTTTACTTCTTCCCCTAAAATTATCCATCTGACAGTAAAGAAAAAAAACTGACCTTTACGTATTAATACGCTTGATTAATTCAATCTGCCACTATTAGTTTGAGAAAAGAATTTGAAAAAGAAAAAATAGAAACAGAGCAGCAAAAATACGGCATCACATTCCTTCGCTAATTATCTACGCTCTAAATATTTCTTTAGAACACTTTTCTGGAGAAATTTTAACTCAAATTAGCAGTTTTCCACTACAATGGTCCGAAATTTTATGGATGCCCTTAAAAATTTAATAGTTTTCTTATAAATATGAACGAAGTTTGCAAAAATTAATATTTTTAATTGTAGTTTAAGGATCACTAAGATTAAAAGAGTATACGATTTTGCTCTCGATTTGCGCTTTTTTTCCTTAATCTTAAAATACTTTTAAAAAATATTTGTAAATAAAAAAATTTACAATTAGTTGAAAATAAGTATATCATCTAATTATCCTCGGCCCAATAGAATCATTTTATCACTTTAGAAATAATGTTTTAGGATTTGTTCTTTTGTTTGTATACCATCACAAAACAGTTATCTATGTAAGAATATAATTGGTTCTGCTCTTTTTAGTTGGAATTTTTAATTAAAATGAAAAATTATAAGAAAGATAAGAAATTTGATACAAATAACCAAGGAGATACATTTATGGCTCACGCGGAGAAAAAACTTCAGGTAAAATTATCGCACTAAATGGTAATAAAAATGGCAAAAAAAGGATATCTGGTTCATAAAACCATTCAGTTGGTTATTTTTCCGTTCACATGGTATTGGTTTACGGGAAATTCTGGTTTTCAAAATTATAGTTCGTATTACCACACAGTTAGTTAAAAATACAAAACTAAAAAGTAAATTTAGCCGAATAAATGGCTTTAATGCCATGTTCTAATGAATTATCCTAAAATTACCAAATTAAGACATTTATCAAATTTTATCAATTATTATAAAACCATACTTAATTGGTAATTTTACCAAAATCATAAAGAAAGCGCTTCGGTAAATATTAACCAAGCTTTTTTGTGCTCATACAGAGCCAGAGGTAAATGTTAACTTAAAGTAATTTTTACCAGAGCGGTAAATTTTACCATAATCTGATAGTTTTGATCATACTTTTTTTTCGGTTTCATAAGTATTATATTACTTGGGTCATTTTTATTTAGTTTCACAGCAAAGGTATGAAGAAATACTCTAAAAATATAATACAATGTACAAAAAATTCTTCCAAATAAAATGTATAATTTTTAAAACAATAGTTGAAAATAAATACAATTAAGTTTCAATTAATTTATTTTTTAAAAAAATATTCATTTCGTATTTGGGAGTTAACTTTTTTTTCTAAGTTTCATATTTCTAATTAAAAATTGCATTTTCTGTCATTATTTAAACCTTGGCTCTCAGAAAGTTATTGTGATGAAGAACAAAAAATAAGTAGAATGAAGTTGATGTTTTACATTTCATAAATCTTTTGAGCTCATAGATTAGAGGTTTAAAAATAATAATCTTTCTTGTTAATTTTAAATAAATAACTCGAGAGAACAATTTTTTCCCCATTGCATGAGATTTTTTAAATAGATCTTAGATATTTTCATATCGCTGATTTCAAATCTGCAATTAGTCTTTTCTTCCAAGCTACAAATTTTCTGATTGATATTTTTAGTCTATTTTCTGTCAAAATGTATAAGTTTTAAAGCGTTATATATAACAGGGGGTCACATGTAAGTTACTACCAACTTCTAGTGGAGTTAGCACACACCAGGTTTGAAATTGCATAGGACCTCATGCCTGGTAATGTTGTCGTACGCTACTAAAGGCACTTCCTAATTATGAACTGTTTGTTTGGGTACTTCTGAACAAGTCATGATAGTGTAGCGTATCTACCACTACAAAATTACAACTACAATTCACTAGTATATAAGACATGTTAACTCGACTCTATGTCGGGGTACCTTTTCATAGATGACGGTTGACATGGTCTGTAACTACTCTCCACACTACTTGCACTGGAAGCAAATTTCGACGACAATTCCAACGAATAGTTTGTTGCAATATTTATGCTATACCCTGTCATATATAATGTTTTTAAAATTGTACATTTCAACCGAAAATAGAATAAAAATGTCAAAATTATAAAAAGAAATTTCTCTAAACATAATTTTATGCAATAAAATTGTTCTTAGTAGACATTATTATTTTATTTTATAATAGTCGAAAAATTTTTTAATTGAAAGGTACTTCTAACTTAATTTTAAAGAATGTAAATTTACTCGGTAAAATACAACATTTGAAAGAAATCGGTTGAATAGCACCTGAGAAATCGATTTTCAAAAATACGTTTTTTTCAGAGTCCTAGAACCGATCTTAAGTTCCTAAGTAGAGTAAACATGGGAAAAATTACAGAACAATGAAAAAAAGGGGGGAAATAATAATAATAAAAATCCCGAAATCCAAAAAAAAAATTTAAAAAATTTATAAAAATGCGGAAAATAAAAGATTCAATCTTTTCATCAACTCACACGATTATATCCGCAAAAAGAAGTGCTAAAATAGATACATAAAAGAATATGATTTGATATGTTAAGGTTGTCAATTATCGTCTTAGTAGACTGTCTTATGAAAACAATATTAATTCTGCACATCTTTGAACGTTAAAATCTTACGTAAATGAATATTTTATTTATTTTTTTGACATAAATTGACTAGCAAAGAAATGTCATATCATATTTAATAAAATCAGGAAGTGATTGGAAGCAATGAAAAAAATAGAGTCATCAACCCGTACGATTTTATTTAAGATAAAAATAACGAAAATAATATTCTATCGAATCTAAAACTAGTGCTGAAAGTAATTACATATCGGATGAAATGGTAAAGTAAAATTAGTGTTCCCACTCAATTATTAAAAAAAGAAAATATATGATTTGATTTGAACTCGTTTAAAAACATTCATATTCTTTTTTGCGCATTAGTAAGCAAATGACTGTAGTAAAGTTTGATAACTAAATTATAATACCATTAAATTTTTAATAAACGATCCAACGGACAATAAAATCCAACGGCATTTAACGGCGAGTAATTACATGTTAGCATTAATAATATCTGCAATTAATGGCTTATTAAAAGAATGGATGATTTGTTTATCTTACTAAATATGATTTATACCACTTGACGTAAGTTGTTACGAATTCACGTTTGATCGATTTTAAACATTAAAAAAAAATTTGAGCCAAATTACACGGGGAAACAAATTTTTTGTTGCATTATTGCAAATGCCTGATTTGCCTAATCTTGTGTGGAGATTTAAAATTCAAAATTACGTTTTCTGCTAAAGTTACAGATTTTTTCAAGACATTTTCAGTGTTTTTTTTGTTTGTTTTTTGTTAAAATGTAGAAGTTTTAAAAGGTTATATACAACAGCAGTCAAGTTAATCTTATCATTTATGAAATCGGATATCAATACGTCTGGGGGTACTGGATTGGAGATTGATCGTTCTCTGATTCAGGTCAAAATTACGATCTGTGGATGAATTAATGGATGTATGAATGGGTCCGCCCTATAAACGGGTGCGACATATGGTGTGACAGAAGTCGAATTCTTGGCCATAGATGGCGCCACTGGAAAACAAGAACAATCGCACCCCTCTGCCTAAACAGGCATACGGTCAACAACAATAACAACACGAAATCGGATTACTGCATCATCATTATGCGGAAAGAAAAAAAATTAAAAATGAATTCAGTTATAAGTAACTTACCATTACTAGATATTTCATATTGCTCTGTTGGAGTGGATGGGGAGTTAGGTTTTGTGTCTGTCAGTGATAAAGTATCCTGACTGCTATCATCGTCAAAAACAAGGGAATGTAAATTATCCCCTGAAAAGAAAAAAAGGAAATCTGATAACAGATTGCGAGTTATCAAAATTTAAATGTAAATGGATAAACGTACATTCGATTACGTCTTCTCACATGTCAAGAACTCATAAAAATGGTTACAACAAACACAGCGTGTTCTACAATCACGTATCTCAATAACGTGCGACGTAGTTGGTGTGGTGGGTACGTATAATTTGCCTACGGTAAGAACTACCCCCGCCACAAAGTCTGAGGCCGTCTGCTGTTATGGAGACAAGAATAGCCCATTTTAGGGAGGGGAGCATCTCTTCACCCTTGAGTTATCACAATAGACTGAAGAAAAAGATTCCCATTCTCTCGCCGACCTAAGCCAAAACCTGTCCTGAACAGTGACCCCACACCCCTACCTGAAATAGTTATACCACGTTACCATAGTCACCGCCATGAGTCCAGACGAATGGCTAGAGGAGTTTTTACTTTGGACAAACTATACCACGGCCTTGAACCTGAACTGGAGATACCCACTCATGGTTAGGCGGTTGGGAAACTTGATGCGGAGACTGGGTGATTTCTTTTACCATCTGCCCTCTTACTTAAAATGAGAGTATGCGCATGCTGCCAGTACTATATTCGGATCAACACTAAGGATAACTTCTAAACTGCCATAAAGAGCCCCTTTGGTTAGCTCTAGTGTGATGTTAACAACCGAAATCAAACCTTAATGTATACTATTAGAATTTTTGTTATAAAAGAAGGTAAAAAAAGTATGCATATTAAAGATTTCAAATTAAATGTCTCATCGAAGTAAAATGTTAATCCCCATTCTTGAAGATAACGGATTTAAAAACAAAATCATTTTCGTTTCTGGGATATTTTTACAAACTTTTGATGTATTTAATCTAGTACTCCTCATAATTGCTTATCAAGCTTTGGTATCACTTTTTCAATTTTCGTCGGGTAAATATCGATTTACATTTAATTGTAATCATTATTTTACAATTAATTGTAATCATTATTTACAATTAATTGTAATCATTATTTACAATTAATAGTAATTTATAATTAATTGAAATTTACAATTAATTGTAATTTACAATTAGTTTAGTTAATTAATTGTAAATTTGATTCAATATTGTGCATTTGAAACAAAGTTTCCATTTTTTTCTGAATGAATTTTTGTTTTGGGAATTGTATTTTCTTAGAAAAAATAATAACATAGAATAAATAGCTGAAGCGCTTATTATAATAAGCATTACCACTGATTTAACCAAATATACAATCAAAATTAAAATATGCATAGCTATCTATAATGTCAAACTAAAATAAAAAATTTTAAAACAATTTTTCACGTTAGAATAATAAACAAAATTGTTGTTCTGATATTGTAGTCCATAACAAAAGCAAAATTTATTTTTATTATAACGCAGAATAGGAAACAAAGAAATCAAAACAGCGCAGAATAATACATCAAAATCCTTCATAAAACTATACTTAAATTTCTATGCTACACTGCTTATAAGAATATTTTCTAATGATAGCTGTTTTCCTTATATGTCACAAATTTCTAGAAGTAATTCATCCATAACATTCAAAAAAGAAAATTTCTAACCAAAAAAAAAGATACAAGCTAAAAGAATAATTTTTTAATGCTTGAATATACTTTGAATAATACAGAAACCAGTTTCTTTGAAGCATGTAGCACCTGCTAATAATGATTTTGAAACTAGGAAAATTTGTTGTCCTATGTCAGATGTGGAATATATCATTATTTTGTCTCAAAGACATAACAATTGATTTCATAGAAATGCTATCCATTAACTATATAATAAGCTCACATTACTGATAAAAATGAAAACAGAATTGGACAGACCGCTAAAAAGTATTTTACAAGAATTTGAATGATTTAAAACAACTTATAAAGCTTAAGATATTACTTTCTCGCACCAGATTACTTTTATTTTCTGCTTATTAAAATTAAAAAAAACAGAACCATAGTTATATTCGTTAAAATAGCGGAGAAGTTTTTAAACTTTTATTTAAAAATTATTTATTGTAAGTTAAAAAGTGTGTGAAAAAAATTGTGGACTTGTGACAGAAATGATAAGTTAATAAAACTAGGAAACTTGTGTAATCTTTGAAAACAACTTGAATGGCAATTTTTACTTCGTTTTTTCATATCGCTGTTTACCCAAATCAAAGTTTATCCTTATTTTAAACAAATATTTTACTATCTAATTTTTTTTCTAATACAGTGATGATGCTCGCACTCAACTTCGGAATAGTATGAAACAAATACATTATTATAATTCCATTTTCATGCAATAACAATAATAAATAATTAGAAATTATATTTTAATCATGTATTTTAGGATTTATGGACAGGATAAGAACACAAACCCTTCATATAAAGATTTCAACGCTGTACTTAAGTAATGGATTGATTTCAGTACCCTATGTGATTTTTTACACTAGGCTATTTATGAAACACCTACTTTATTCAAAAAAAAAATATAGATAATTCGTTTGATTAACAGGTTCTTTTTCAAAGGCTTTAACAAGTTATAAAGGTATTATTACCTTTCCTAACATCTCCTCTTTTAATTTTTATTTTCAAACTCTTTCTTCAAATGAAATAAAAGTGTTATATGTTTTATTTTATAATCGGCGTTAAACAACTGACCCAATTCGGAGTTTACGTTTATCAATGTTTAACTCCGCAGCCTTGTAAGTTGAGCCCAACCCAGCCCAGAAGACAAGGGAACTCCAGGAATAAAGGAATTTTCATAATATAACCACCAAGCAGTCGTTTTAATTTCGAGTTTAATTTTGACTTCCAATTTTCAAATTCGTAGCCTTATACTTTTGAACACAACCCTGAAGACCAAGGGAACTTTTAGATAAAAAACCGGTCAAACTAGCCTTCGTCTAGGACTTTTTGATGAAAGTAATCCGAATTTGAGTTACATGGAGAAGAAAACCACAAAAAACCTCCCCACGGTTAGCCCAACGTCAAGGAGATTCTAATCCATGATCCGTCTACGACCGATATTTTGTGTCAGTACTGTGGCCGGGTGCAGAATTCGTATCGACCAGCCAACGCTGGGATTCGACCCTGGATCATCTCATTGGAAGCCGAGTGCTTAGCCACCGCAGCTCAAAATAAATAAATAAAATAAATAAAAATAAAATGAGAATGATTCGCGAATATTACTCTATTTTAAAAATTATTGTGATTTCTGTACAGTTATTCACGATTGTTAATTTTTATTATTGTAATATTGGTGTCAAATTTCAGCATCAAAAAATTATAATTTTTAATATAAAATACTTTTTTATTCTAAATTTCTTAATATTTTAAAAGTTTATCCATTACTGCGTTGCATTAAGGCTCATGAAAATTGCCGAAACTATGAATCATTCATCGATTTCAATGATTTTCATCTAGATAAGAAAAATGTCACCATATGTTAGATTGCTTAACATAATATTTTTTAGATACTTTAAACTTCGGTCTATTGAAGTCTAGTTAATTTTTCTGTAAAATAAATTGCAAAGAATAAAATACATAGAATAAAATTCAAATCTTATTTCGCGATTAAGTAACAGAGACTGAGATTCTTTTTCTCTTCAATCTCCAGTCAGGACTTTAGAAACTGCCTTCCTGTTTCTTAAAATTGACAAAACAATTTCTGAAAGATGCTTAAAGAACATAACATTTTTAGCAGTATTATTTTATTAAACCTATTATTTCATTAGTGCCTTCTATTTCACCCAATCCTGCGTATTTATTTGTTTATATTCTTTTTTCCTTTATTTTGAAATTTTGAACGTTTGTTTTATCATTTAAAATACATGACAAAGCAACGTAAGTTTCAAAACATATCCAGGAATCGAGAAAGTGGTTGATTTTGAGTTAGAATTGAAAATTGCTAAAAAATTTTAAATCACAAAACGTTAAAGCTGTATTAAACTCAAAAACGTGCTGATGTGCTTTATTTTTCAAAATAATTAAATAGGTAAATAGAATTCAAACATAATATTTAACAATACACTTGAAAAAAAATTTATTAAAAATTTCTAGCCTTTAGATACATTTTTTAGAAAAGTTTTTTTTTTTTTTTTTTTGCTAATAAGAGAGATGCAATCAGTAGGCAATAAAAGAGAGTTTTTTGAATGTATAGCTTTTACACAATTTTATAGATGATTCAACTAATGAGATGAGATGAAACAACATACAATAAAAAATATCGTTACAAATATGTATTTCTTAGATATATTTTGTATAGGTGGTTCAACTAACAATAAAAAAGGTTCGACTAAAAGACGAAAAGAGTCAGCAAAAGGACAAAATTTCTAGGGAAAAGAACTAATTAACAGAGCAAGAAATATTTGGTAGGTAGTTTTTGCTTTAATGTTAAATTTTACTAGCATATTAGGTGCCCAGTTGCGAAATTTTAGATGATAAGGCTCCTTGGAATTGTAGATCCCAAATTTGAAGCATATACATTATAAATCAGTCTACTAATAACAAGAAAAACGAACCAATAAACAATATCTATAGAAAAAAAAATCTTTTCTTTCAATACATTCCTCTTAGACACTGTTTTATATAATTCTACTAATAATAAGAAACACGAACCAATATATAATATAAAGAAATATATCTGTTTAAACATATACCTTTTAGTTCCAGTTTTTTTTCAATGATGATTCCATTAAATATATTAGATAGACAAATCAATATATAATATTAAAAGAAAAAAAAAACTCAACTGATCATTTAACTAATACTAACATAAATACATAAAAATATGCCGTGTAAACTATAAGCAATAGCGAAAAAAATCTACCTTTTAAATCCGCTTTTTTATAGTTTATTCTACAAACAAGCGAGACAAAATCCAAAAAGTGAAAAAACTTACTTTTAAGTGATCGCGGTTTAGCCTGCTTACGACGAGACATTCCGTTATATAATCCTAAGATCCAACTCCCACACCTCAGTACAAATAGTTCACACAAATAAACAAATCGCTCTTACGACACACGAGGTTTCTCTTTTTCCGTTAAAACCGGCAACGACACAGAACGACGCGGAAAAACATCGTGTGCACCATCCTGCGAAATAGTCATCTATACGTAGCCTACTGGTTTTGGATTCTCTTCCGTTAAAATCATCTTCTCTACGTCACTGTCTCTCCCAACGGGACATAGGGACCTTACAGTCCGTTGCCACGGCGCAGGGCACCCATTGTGGAGTGGGGGAGGCTGTGTAAGGGATTGCTGTGCGCCTGCGCTGGGTTATGGGTGGATGGAGAACTCAGAGCATCGTTGATCCTCCGCATCTTGGGATGAGGATGCTACGGATGAGGAGCGGAGCGTTAGTGTAATAGAACAACAGGTGTTTCTGTTTGCTTGAGGTGGAAAGAGAGGGTGTTAGATTTTGGTTGAAGGGAGTGTTTTATTTCAGGATATTTTTTTTTTTTAAGTTATAAAATAAAATTAATGTATTAGAAATCGTTTATGTTTTTTAAAGATTTTGTTTAATTTTTTTTTGTGTTAAACTGTAGTTTGAATTAAATTCAATAGAGTGATAAGTAATTTTTAAATTTGTATTAGCATTAACTATTATTTTGTGCAGATGAAAAAATTTATTTTCCTTTTTACCTTTCCTACAAAAAATTTTTCTCAGAAATATGGTTTTCTAAGTTATGAAGGCATAAGGTATTTTTTTAAATAATAGTCGTTATGTATTATTTTTCTCTCATTTTGCTTAATTTTATTTTATAGCTTATTTACTATTTCATTAAACTCTCATTAATTTTTTTTTTTATTTTTCCCTTTCTTTTCAAAAATAATTATTTTTATGTTTATTCACATAATGTTCTTTAATTTTACACTATTTTATTTAATTACATATTTTGTGCTTCATTAAATTCTTGTAATTTTTTCCTTTTTTTGTTTCGTTTCTCTTTAGAAATAATTCCAAACAGTATTTTTATTTTCATAGTGTGTATTATCAAAAAAAATGAATTTAAATTAATTAATTAATATAATATTTTGATGCATAACTGATATTTTTTCTAATATGGACACGGCAAATTTGCTATTTTTTAAATGACACATTGACTTAAAGGCAAATTTTTCTATCAAATTGCGGGTGTTTTAGATTTTTTTCCTTTTTGTTTTTATTTTAATTATTTTTCTCTGAAAGTAGGGTTGGATTAAAGAATGATGGGCCATGTAGCTTATATGTAGCACTACTGGGGCCTCACCTATGCCAAACTAGTCAAAATTTATCGATATTCAAAAATATTGAAACTTTTTATGAAATGAAACTTTAGTTAAGCTTGTTTAAGAGAAATTTGGAAAGAAAAAAATTAATATTTTGCAAAATGGATTACATTAACAATACAATTAAGTGCTTATGCTAGCTAAACATCATGTGTTAGCTTAATTATAAATTCATTAACTTTAAGTAATAGAAGTTATAAATTTTAAAAATTACGTAAGATAAATTTACAATTTTTTTAAAATAAATAGTTTAAAAATAAATAGCTAATAAATTATAAATTGCATGTAGTTGAAGTGAAAATTATCAAATATACATATTTAAAAAAAATTGAAAGAAACAAATTAGAATTTTCAGTTTTTACTCGTTATTGCTTCGATAACCTCTGCTTGCTATTTAAAACCGGGTACTATTCGCTTCGGCTTTTCCCATTCCCCCTCCTATTTGATGTGTGTCTATGCTGGAGCCACGAAAGCTGCAGTGCAGCGGAGTGCAAACAAGCCTGAACAATTTTACAAACTCCAAGACAAAATTTATTGAGGCCCCCCAAGTACAAAAAGTCTAATTTTCATATTTTATAAAAAATTTTGTTGTTGCAGATTTTGAACAAAAACTTCAAATTTTCACCTTTTATGCAAATCTGTAGTTTTTGTATAGTTATGAAGAATTTTGGTCGGGACCTCAGGCGTCCGGGACAGTTATTTCCAATTCCTTCCCTTCAGTCCAACCTTTAGTAAATTGCATGTAAATTACACGCATAATTTTCTTAAATTGTCATACGAAATAGAAAAGTTCGCTACTTTTTATTTGAAATTCTAGTAATTTTAAATTTCCCATAGAGTTAACATGCGTACCCGGTATTACCCCACCATATTATAAATATATATATACATGAAAAAAATTACAGAATAATGAAAAGAAAAATGGAGGAAGAAAATTATTTAAATAAAATAAAACAGTGTAATTATAAAAATTTCATTAAAGAACCAGGGGAAAAAAGATATCTCTTCATCAGCTTGCACGATTATATCCACAAAAAGCTGCTATATTGATACAATAGAAAGCACTCTTTTTGTGGATCTAATCGTGTGAGCTGATGAACAGATGATATCGCTTTTTTTTCTGAATTATTATTGAAATTTTTAAATATTTTTTTAATTATTTTTTTAAAAATAATTTTCTCCTTTTTTCATAATACTGCAATTTTTTTCCATGTTTTCTCTATATTTTGAGATTATATTTATATGGGAGTGGTAGTAAATGTCACTAAAAAACATTGTCAAGGATTTGCGCCCGGATTACCGAAAAGTGTCTAAAAACGATTAGCTGTGGAGTAAAGGGGGGAGGCGTAATATTACCCCAAAAATTACAGACCACCCAAGTAAATTAACGAACACCTCATTTTCTGTTTCACCTTACAGAGACAAAATTTTGACAGATAAGATTCATCGCCAAATAATTCCAATTTGTTACATTCTTTGACAAATTTATGAGTTTCATCATTTAATTACTGCTCTTAATTTTGTCCTTGTGTCCGTTGCACACACTGTGTCAACTAAACAAGGCACCACCCATTTTATTGGTAAGCGTTATACGAAACATTAATTTATGTTCTTTTTGACATAGATACATCGAGAGGAGATATGAAGATTTTATTTAGAATCTAATAGAAAATAATTGCAGCGAATATCACACCTGTCAGTATAATGTTACTAAGGCTGTAATCAATATGCAGGTATATTTAATATATGATAATTACTTGATAACATTGACTGGTATTTAAAATTAAAATGGTAATATACTTCATAAAAGGAAAATATTATTAAAAAGATTTTTATTACAGTCTTTAATTTCTTTTTTATTAGCTTGGTTAACGGTTGACTGAACCATTACATACCATTCAATTTGTTTTGCATCAGCTGGTATATGGTATCGCCGTATCAACATTGATTGGTTCGTTTTGTATCAGCATTCTGGTCTTTTTTTAATCCGCTATACAGTGTCGCAGAGGTATAAAGTTTTGCGTATGTATGTACTTAAGAGTACAATGTTACTTTACTATTGTGCTTAAATTTTAAAAATTTTCATTAAAATCATGAATTGTATGCATTTTATGAACTGTTCAGATCAAACAGATTCTGATAACGACCAAAATTCGATTGTTTTAAAAAGTATAAACTTTCCCCTGAATACTAAATGTTTTAACGAATTCCAATTTGTTTCAAAGATACTGCAACTTAAAATAACTTTTCTCAAAAAGTTTCTTTATTGTATTAAATTATTGCATCCTATTCAATTCATTGGTTATGTCAGACTTTTTTAGGCAATAATATTCAATTAAAGTAAAGGTATTGGACGTTTTCTTGAATATAAAGGAAAATACTTAAAATAAGTAATGAATTAGGGAAACCCACATTTTGTTTTCCAGTTTCACAGTGGCTAGTTCGTATTTCATTTTTAAATCTTCTTCATTCGAGTGCAAGATTTCAGTAATCAGCATCATTAAAAGTTTTATACATTCGAGTTCAAGATTTCAGTTTTCGGCATTATTAAAAGTTTTATACATTCGAGTTCAAGATTTCAGTTATCGACATTATTAAAAGTTTTATACATTTGAGTTCAAGATTTCAGTTATCGGCATTATTCAAAAGTGCATACAGTAGTTAAATTTATCCAAGAATATATTTTATTATTATTAGATAAATATTTCATTAATATATTTCTTTTAAAAATACCAATAGTACGTCTTTAATATTTCATTCAAAGTAAGTGTAATTAAAATTGTTTTATAATTTCCTACGCATTTTCTCTCCAACTTATACTTACAGATCTTCGTATTTTATGCAGACATATCATTATTGTTCACTAAAACCAGCATAAAAAAAGAGATGTAAAAGTGTAAAATAATGACTGGCAGTCACTCAACAATCACTAAAAAGATACGAAGAAAATAAATATTTTACATGAATTAATCTAAAGTGAAGAATGAATGTGGGTGTAATGAAAGATTTTCGCCTTTTTTTTTATTGAAAATGCATAAACGTGAATTGAATTTATTTTTATTCACTCCTACAACTTTCAACAATTACAGCTTTATTAACAATTCAAGAGTCCTCCTCGACTTCTTCACATAAATGGGAATTCCAACAAAGTATCTAAGATTCATCACGTGGTCAGGTGTCAAGAAACGATAATCGTCATTTACGCCACCTCGTGTGAGTTTTTTCATGAATGCTTCTACAAGACAGACCTACTCATCCGCCATATTGGATTTATTCCATATTTTTCGCTATAAGAAATAAAGGTCACGGTTTGAATGTCTTAAAATCGAGCCTATGCTTTTATTTTAAACTTCTTAGATTTATTTGAGATAAATAATGAACTAGAAATTTGAATAATTCAAAAATAGTTAAAACTTTTTAAAAAAAAATAAAATCACCAATATTATTTCATATTTTTCACTTAGATGTGTGATTCTTAAAACATTCGAGAACACTCACTAAGGTGGTGGGATGTAACTAAATAGGAGCCCCAAATCCGCAAAATCGTTTAAATATTTTAATTATTTCTTTTGGGAAAAATGTTTTAAATTCTTGCATTAGCCTAACTAAAATTTAAATAATTCTGTTAAAGATTTTATTACACGATCTTTAATGTTTAGTTCTTTTTCACAAGTTTAGTTATCAACGTGATTGGCACGAGGATCGGTTGCTACGTCACCAAATAAGTATTTCTTAAGATATTTGAAATTTCGTGTTCATTTTGTTTATAGTTGATGCTTTAAAAGCGAGTTTATGGTATAAAAAATACGAAGTAGAGTTTTTAAAGAAATAATGAATCCAGTGACGAAAAAGTACAAAGTAAAATAATTTTAAAAAAAAAACCTTTCTATATTTTTTTTACAAAAATGTAATATCTCAAGAATTTTTTGTAAAATTGTTAAGGAAAGCAGATGAAAAAACAGTGGTTTTCGAATAACAACAGTAACACCATACAAACCATTGGCTTTTCATCTGTTTTCTTTAAAAATTTT